CCCCATAGCAGTAACTAATGCTACCGTCACTCACTGTAATGTTTCCTCCTCAGACATGGTGGCACAGTCCTTGGAGTTGTCGCGGCAACCCCACGTTGTCGTGGCAACGCCAGGACGACTAGCGGACCACATTCGCAGCTCTAACACCTTCAGCCTGAGCAGGATCCAGTTCTTGGTGAGACCCGGTCTCTAGCTCCCACTTTGTGTGTGTCTATGTGTGTATTCATTTTTGTGTGGGTGCATGTGTACACCTATGCGTGTGTGTGAGAGTGAGTGTCTGAATACATAGATGTAAGTGTATCTATTGTGTCTGTGTTAGGGGTGTCACGATTCCGATTTTAAAATCGAAGATCGATCGAAATGAGCTTTCGATTTCGATCGAAATCAAAAGCAGACAAAAGAAACAAATGTAAAAAAGCTGTTTTTGTGGGCTGCCGCTGTCATCTATTGGCTCTTGTTGTTTTTGTGTTTAACAGTTTGTTGTTCCTAATTTGGTGAAATAGGTTTTTGTTATTTTAAATAAATGATTTACATTTGACCATATGGCCTTAGTGTGGTACATTCCTAAAGAAATATGGTGGCTATATCACACATGCTATGTAGCTTATCTTTTTAAGAACCTTTACCAATCAAGACTCGATAGTCTTACAATGGCATAGCCGTCAGTGCTGAAAAAATATAAAAATAAATTGTTGTTCGAATCATGACCTTAAAATCGAAAGTCAAATCAAATTGTGGATTTGGTGACACCCCTACTATGTGTGTGTGTGTGTGTGTATCTGTGTGCAATTGTGCATCTACTGTATATGTGTGTGTATGTATTAATCTTTATATGCATGTCAGATCATGGACGAGGCAGACCGGCTGCTGGAGCAGGGCTGTACTGACTTCACCAAGGACCTGGAGGTGATCCTGGGGGCGCTGCCAGCCAAGCGACAGACGCTGCTGTTCAGTGCCACGCTGACTAGCACGCTGCAGGAGCTCCAGAGCGTCACCATGAACAAGCCCTTCTTCTGGGAGAGCAAGTCAGAGTACGTGTCCCTGTGTCTCCCTCCCTCTCTCTCTCACAACTACGACTATTACAGCTGAATCCAGTTTTCCAGTGCTACAGTTGTTCAAGTACTTGCAGTGCTTCTAGTACTACAGACCGGTCATTTAGCACTGAAATACTGGTTTGTAGTGCAGTACCCGACGACTAGAAAGCGTTCTTGAATACGCGCCGGACTCCTCGTGTGATAACAGGGCTTGTGCATCCACCGCCATTTTGGAAGCATAGGAGCATTGGAATGTTGGTAGTCATATTTTTTTGGTCATTGTTTAGTAATTAATCGTGAAATTATTTGTTATTACGGGGAGACGTTTGAAACAGCCACAGCGTTTCTCATGCAAGACATGGAAAAACAAAGTTTTCATTAGCCTAGTTGGCGGTAAATTTACGGTGATGTAGGATTTTACAGTACTACAACTCTTTTGAGTCCTCTCAATGTGGCGGAGTATCGCCACCAAATGCATTCTGATGTACAAGCCCTATTGACTCATCTGTGACACCCAGGACCCGGACGGTGGACGAACTGGACCAGCGCTACATCCTGACCCCGGAGAAAATCAAGGACGCCTACCTAGTCCACTTGATCCAGACCTTCACAGACCAGCACAGCGACTGGTCCATCATCATCTTCACCAAAACCTGCAAGTAAGCACTGGTAGTGTTTTGAAAGAGCCGCTTGTATATAAAAAACCTGTTCTGGGGGCATTACCCTTTTGTGTGTAACGCCGAGTGTGTGTGTGTAGAAATAAAGCTGGTACGACTGTTCAATGGTACTACTAGTGAGGAGTGGTGTGTGTGCTAAATCTGTTCCAGGGAACCAATAGAGGTCTGGTTTGGATCCTGTGATCTTTTTAGCGGTTTATGTTCTTGCTTCTAACTCATTAGGGAGGACATTAGTCAAAGCCCAGCAGCAATTGGAGTTTGATCATTCAGGATTTGATAGTGGGAGTACTTAGTGGATGCCCCAACATCCTAATCAATATTATTCATTTAGTGGAGAGAAGTAAGGAAAATACTGGAGGCCTTTCATGGGCCTCCATATCAGTTCAAGGTACTGCATTTTAGTATGTTTTTAGCATTTTAACGCATCTAAATCTGTCCTCACAGGGACTGCCAGATCCTGACGATGATGCTACGAAAGTTCAACTTCCCCACCATCTCCCTCCATTCCATGATGAAACAGGCGAGTGTCCTCAGGACTGTAGAAACCCAGAAGGCCTTCCCTGTGTGATGGTAGTGTGTTTGTGGTGTAGAGATGTTTGGCTTTCCGTTTGAGGTCACTTCTCCATTTTTAATGGTTTGTTCCTCATTAGCAATCAGTCGCTAGCCAGATGATTACAAGCAGCTTGTATTTTTACTTCCTGTGAGAAGAAAGAAGACAAATCAGACTTTCATCAATCAATCCAAAAAACAGATCAACTTGAAGAGCGAAGATGTTGAATAATACATTAATACCGCATGGCCTTTTTTCTCCCAACCACAGAAAGTACGATTCGCCAACCTCTCCAAATTCAAAGCCAGCGTCTACAAGATCCTGATTGCGACAGATGTTGCTTCCAGGTAAGGTGCTCAACTATTGACCCAAAAAATGTGTAGAGTAAATGTCCCTTGTATACGAACACAAGCCCCAAGTAAACTACTGCTGAGCTACTCCAATGGGACATTGGTATTATGGGCAGATGTTGATGGGGTTAAAATTATGTGTGGGGAAGCACGTGTATAACGATGCAAGAAGTTGCAAAAATGTAGCAGAGTATTTCTTCATTGAAAGAGCAAAGAACAGCACTAAAAGCTTTTCTTGATGGAAAAGATGTTTTCGCTCTCCTACTACGGCATATGGTTTGTTGATCTGATTGGTCGAAGTTAACCCCTGATAGACGGATGCTTCATCCAATCACCTGCCAAATATATTTTTTGTGTAACAAAACTGGTGCGTTAGGTCAAGGCTGTCATGGCACTTTGAGTGCATTGCTTTTCTGATTTTGTATGATGTGCTGGCTAACAGGGGGTTGGACATCCCAACGGTCCAGGTGGTCATCAACCACAACACGCCCGGCCTGCCCAAGATCTACATCCACCGAGTGGGACGAACTGCCAGGGCTGGTAGGATCACAATGATGATGATTGAGTATTAATAGTCACAGGACAGTATAACGGTCGTTAAATCCTCCCTAACTACTCCTTCATGACTTGCATCTGTCAACGTGAGTGGCTTGAGATAAGTCTTCATAACTAAATGCTAATGAAGGGCCTTTGGAGCTCAGTCACAGCCGCTTGCTAACGGGTGTCTTTACTCCGCAGGGAGGAACGGAGTCTCCATCACCATGGTGACGCAGTATGACATCCACCTGGTCCACGCCATCGAGGAAGAGACCCGTAAGTTATTATTACCAATATGCGACTATTAACATTTACATTTAGCAGACGCTTTTGTCCAAAGCCGCTTACAATAAGTACATTTGTCAGTAGAAAGTAAAACATCTGTCGGTACGGCAAGGATGTTAATAGAAAAAGTTTCTAACTGCACCATAATTGCTAAGTTTAGCTCTTTCTGGTATACAGCATGGGTAGCTAGGGTAAGATGCGAAGTACTATTTAGTCAGAACATACGGTGTTGTATGCTTCTAAAACACGATATGAATTTATAATAGTTATAAATTCCATTTGGTAAATGCTTTCATCCAAAGCGTCTTACAGTAACGAAAGTGCATATATTCAACAGTTGAGCTGCACAGGACCAGAATGTCGTAGTAGACTGCAGTTGCATTGGACCACTGTGTGGCTACTTTAGTTTAGATGCGTGTTGGCGCTGGTTCCCTGTGTGTGTGTGTCTATACAGAGTCGAAGCTAAAGGAGTACGAGGTGGAGGAGAAAGATGTGTTGAAGATCCTCACCCAGGTCAACGTGACCCGGCGGGAGTGTGAGATCGTAAGAACCCCCTTCCTGCTCGATAGACGCCGTGATCCCAGAAACAGATAGGATTCATGTGGACGCGTTAATGAAAACCTGTTCTATTCCAGAGACTGGAAGCCACCGACTTTGACGAGAAGAAAGAGGTGCACAAGAGGAAACAGCTCATCCTCGAGGGGAAGGTACGTATTGATAATGGTTAAACACTGTCGTCGTGCTACAACTGGTTAGCGTTAGCTCTGTAAAGCATTAGATGCAGGTTAGCAGTTGGCTAGCAGTTTTATTTTTTACTTTGATACATTTAGGGTAATTGTCATGAAGTTTAATTTAGTAAAGCAGCTCTTCATTCCATAGAGATCTTTGCTATGAATTCGATTGTTTTAATACAAAAAGATAATATGAACAGTATACTAAATATAGCTGAGAGTCAGTGTAGTCTGGGCCTGGGTTTACCCGCGTTGTGGTGGTGGGCGTGTGTTTCAGGACCCCGAGATGGAGGCCAAGCGTAAGGAGGAGCTGGAGAAGATCAAGAAGCAGAAGAAGAAGTTCAAGGAGCGGATCCAGGAGAGTGTGCAGCAGCAACAGGCGGAGCAGCGGGAGAGGAACCACCTGAAGAAGAAGAGGCGACTGGAGCAGAAGAAGGCCAAACTGGAATCTAAATGACATGGGCCTCCACCATGTGTACACATGCTACGTAATGCTGATATGGACTGATACATTTGATATATACCCACACTAGCATAATGCTATTGTGCATACGCAGGACTCGGCCATCTACACAGGCTTAGTGGAAAGGATTCTAGCGTGTGTATATACACACTATGAAGACTAGACTTAATGTGCAGAGGGATTTCTTTTTACATGCGTGTAAATATAAAGAAAAAACGTAACTGACTCAACTTGACAAATCAACCTTTATTGATGGATTCAGAACAGAATCACAAATCGATTTAATCTCACCAGCAGAAAGGAGTCCAGCCCAGAACCTTGTAAATGATGTAAAATAAAAACCCATAATCCAGTATCCTGATTTTTACCTTCG